TCATTAAAATAAAAAAAAATTAAAAAAATATATATATAAAGGCAGATGGGCTGGGTGAATTACTTTCCTTTTTACCCAGTTGGAGACTTTGGATGTGCATAAGGATTTGATTCTTAGAAAGTCCCATTCATCTATTTTATCTTCTCCTACTTGTAAGGTTAATATCCCTTTCGAACCATGCATTTAAAAAGGCTATTTTCCAGTTTCTTCATCATGAGGTCAAGGACACAGGGGTCCTTCTGATTCTTAGTGAAGGCAGCCAGTTCTGTATTCATGAATTTTAGGAACTCCGTTTTGGAGAGGGTAAGGCTGTTTCCGTCCTGTCCAGCGTACCTCTGGAACACGGCAATCAGGGACTCAATGCACCGCTCGGGCTCCGTGGGGCTAGCGACTTTTGCCATGCCGCAGCGGACCAGAGCGCAGTGGCAGCGGCTTGGAGCGGCAGCGGGCGTGCGGCTGGCTGCGGGGAGCTGCGGCCTCTGGCGGCCCACGCCCTGCCCTTGGAGGCGTTGCTCTGGCCTGCCATGACGCTTTCATGAAACGTGTTCACTAGCAAACCTGAAGCGCCATTGAAACTGGCCAACAAGCTCAGCCCCTTCCCTCCAAGACCCCCCCCCCCATCCCATGACTGTAGACTCACAGCCCACACACACCCTTATCTAGCCCACCCACCACTCCCTTGCAGGCCACCCCTGCTAGGACTAATAAACATTCTGTTGTTTTTTTAAAAACAAACAAACAAACAAGGCTAAGTGTTAGCTTTAAGAGAACCTATGGCCACATTGTGAGACTGAAATCTCCCATACTCAGTCTCCGAAAACCAGCTTGGTGGGTCAGCCATGAGTTTGTTCTAGAAAGCATACAATTGCTAACCAAGGGAGTTCTGGTGAGGTAAACCTATAGGGAACTGCCCTCCTAAGACATGGTGGCATCTCTCAGGCATTTGGAATACACCAGTGGCAATTTATGGTCAGCTAGGAGTCTCTTCCCACCCAAAAAAATGCCTAAAGGGACTGGAAGAATTATCAAACCAGAAATAAAATTATAATGCCAGCAAAAGAATTTTTTTTAAAAAATTAGAGACCCAAGAATTTTAGACTTTGTGGTTTCTAAAACAAAACAGGCTAAAGTAATTCTAATGTAGTACCAAAAAAAAAAAAAAAAACCCCAAAAAACCAAACCTAAAAAAAACCCAAAAAACCCACACTTTCGAGGGTCTTTAATGAGCACAGGGGATGTGATGTCACTCTCTCTTTTCTGGGTTCCACTGTATTTCAGATAAGGCAATGCGACACCAAAAGCTTTTAAGAATTAACTCCAGTCTCCAGTGAGATAATATAAAATGGCTGGAGAAACCTTTTTCCAGTGGAAGGCAACTGTCCTAAAGGAGTTAATTGTTGAGGATATTTAATTATAAAAAAAAAAACAAACAACAAATATGCCAAAATTTACATAAACTCTTTAGCACTAAGTTTGATAACTGAAATTTCAAAGACGCTATAGTTGAAATATTACTAATGAACACCCTTAATTTATCATTATCCTTTAACTTTCTAAATAAACCATAATTCTTTCCCCCTCTACTTTTGCTAATTTTTAAGGTATTTAATAGGCGCCTAATTTTGAGTTATTGAGAAGCAAAACTTATTTTCCTAGATTCTCCCAAATGAAAATGCTTGTATTAAAAATAGCTAGTAACTTTATAAGATTATACAATCTCATTATTTGCTTAAGAACTCTTCGATTAAAATGCTAATACTAGTAAAGGAATTATTTCTGCAACGCTTTACATTTCAAAAAGTAACATTTATTTCTTAATGGAAAAACATTTTTCAATAGGCACAGTCCGAGTCCAGTGGCCCAAAGAAAGGAGGGCAGCCAAAGTCCTCAGGCGTGCAGCGCGCGCCAATTGTCAAGGGGGCCATGGTTGGAGATGTACTTGACCCCACAACCATCAGGGATGAGGCGTTTCTTACTCACAAGATCTTCGAATTCATCGGCATCAAACTTGGTAAAGCCCCACTTCTTGGAAATGTGGATCTTCTGGCGGCCCGGAAACTTGAACTTCGCTCTCCGCAGGGCCTCGACCACGTGCTCCTGGTTCTGCACCTTGGTGCGGATCGACATGATGATTTGGCCGATGTTGACTCGGGCCACAGTGCCCTGTGGCTTCCCGAAGGCACCTCGCATGCCGGTCTGGAGTCGGTCAGCCCCAGCACAGGACAACATCTTGTTGATGCGGATGACGTGGAAGGGATGGAGTCGCATGCGGATGTGAAAGCCATCCTTCCCACAGGTCTTCACCATGTACTTGTTGGCGCAGATGCGGGCGGCTTCCAGGGCCTCGGAGGAAAGCTGCTCATACTCATCGGACACCATATGGGCGCAGAGCGGGAACTCGTCCACCTTGGCCTTCTTATGCCCCATATCAAAGATGCGGATCTTGGCATCGGGGACACCGCGGCAGAAGCGCGACTTCGGATACGGCTTGTTCTTGCAGTACCAGTAACAACGGGCAGGACGGCGACCCATGGCGACGATGT